ACCATAGGCATGTAGGTACATAGGCAATTTTATTCCATTTTGGGAGGCAGGCACCAGGTAAGCTTTCACTGAATTTACCACAAAGACCTTTTGTGGAAAATAACACATCCAATGGCTACACTGCCTGCAGCAATTGAGGTTCCTTTTTGAAACTGTTCAGACTATTAGTAGTTCAAGGGACCTCTTCCATGAAGTAAGGAGCAGCACAGACAATGCCATTTAGTTTAACTGTGTTGAAGAATTTCAGTGATGCAGATATTTCATGACAAATTTTGATGTTAGTAGCTATAGCAACTCATGCCATGAAACAGCTGTTCTCCTTCCCACCCTATCCTGTACTACACATACATCATCTTTGGAGAATATGTGCAATATTTTGCATGTCTGCTTCAATCTCCATCTGAAGAAGCTTCACAAGAATTTGTTCAGCATCTCACACTTGTGAAATATCACTACAGGCAGGGCTAAACGTCACTAAATCTTGTGCATCTAACTGCTCTCCTTCATTAGACCAGCTGCTGAAATAGTTGTGCAAATGCCATTACCAAACACTAAGGCACTCAAAAATGTTTGAAATTGTTGTAGTGTGTTTTTAAAGGAGGAAGAGCCAAAGGTAGCACCAGGGAAATGAAGAGAAGCTCCCACAGCTTGTGAAAAGCAGCAAAATAGCTGCTTTTCAGGGGAAAGCAATGAATGAAGTGTTAGTTTGGTGTCTGCAGACAGTGTGTGTTTTATCAGATGTCTCACCATATGATCTCTCACCAGTCATGAAAACAAGACTTTTTTTTTTACTGTCAGCAAATAAATAAATCAATATCATAGTTCGGCACCCCAAAATAAATACACAACCCCAAACTCTGAGGAGTTATAAGAAAAAAGGGAGCAGGAGTGGTGTTAATTTTAAACATGTGGGAAATGAGGCACCAAAGTATTAAGTGTATCTTTAGGGAAATCCATTCCATAACCAAAGGCTGCAATTTATTTTCTTAGTTCCAATTTCAGATCATTACAACATTACCTTTCAATAAAAACATGCCCCTGACACAGCTGAGTTTACCATTTGTTTTTCAGTCCTATAAAGCAGCACAAGCCTGAGAACTACCAGGACACTTCATGCAAATACAAATCCTCTCCTTCCATGAGAAAACTTACTGTAGCATAATTTATTGACTATAAAAAGAAGAATTAATGGCCCAGTGCTACTATAACCATACCAATATTTAATAAAATAAAATTTCTAGAATAATGTTTCATCACAGCACTGTCCTTTTAGTCTGATACCCACAAAGCAACATGAAGTTTTAGAAAAGAAACATAATGTAGTAATTTCAATCCATCTCTCTTTAGCTGATCTCTGATTAGCTTGCAGAGCCATTAAACTGCAGTTGTCCACACAGAACATAGTTGATACTCCAGTTTTTAAGCATTCTCAGCTGCAACTAGTTTTGAGCAGTGCCTCTCCCAAGAGAGGTGCTTCATGTCACTCTGCTGGAGTATAGTCTGAGCTAGGGTGAGTTAGACACTTAAATCAAAATCCTTTCTTTTTTCTTTCAGGATGAGCTCAGCAAAACTTTATGAAACAATTGTGTATGTGATTCTCTATCACTCTTCAGTCTGGTGAGTGCTGATGCTCAGGTGCCTATGTACAATTTAAACTTCATGTGCACAGGTGACATCACCTGCACTAGTTAAAAAAAAAAAAAGGGAAATTTCAAGACAGATTATCAGCTGAATGGAAACTTTTTAACTATTTAGCAAAAATGCAATATTCAAGTCAATATCTTAAAAATACAATCAAATATTTATCCTTTAAAATAAATTTGAGGCACAACAGTATGGAAGTGAGCAGTTATCTCTCAGATATCTTTGCCCAAACATGCTGTCTCTGCAGAGTTGGCCTGCCTCTTGCATGCTGTGCCTGCAACAGAAAGGCAAAGGCCAAACCAAAACTGAAGAAAATATTTTTAAATCTAAATGTTTAAAGATAAAAAGAAAGTCTTGGTAATGTGAGTTGTTTTCTCCTCAGTTCTTGATCTGAAGCCTGCACAAAGAAAATTCTCATCCACCAGCATACACAGTCTAAACACGATAAATACAGCTGGCACAATAACTCTGTCCAGAACTGGAAAGACAATGATGAGTAACTTGTTCTTACCAGGCTCTAAGGTAATATTTTAAGAAATGTTTTGTTATTTGAAGAAATAAAGTGAACTTCTTAAAAAAAAATAGATTGATGTCAACAAATGGATGCTTAAAAATGTCCTTGAGTGAAATAAGTTTTGTAAAATAGTTATCAGAAATTGAATTCCAGGAAACGTGAATATTCCACTCTATAAGCTTAGGTTATTTCTTTGAATATCTGCAGAAACAAGATCTAATCTTGAATGCTGTGGACATGGTAACAACTCTCTTATGCACTTTTGCAGTCATTGTCCGGGCTGTGATGTGCTCTAGAACATTTAGATTATTATTATCATTATCATTATTATTATAATTAATTATTATTACTACTATTATTATTACTATTATTATATCAGGTTCC